TGGGGTGATACTGATCAAACCCCTGTTTTCGTTTGGCCTTTTCTCTTTCTTTCTTTCTTTCTTTCTTTCTTTCTTTCTTTCTTTCCCAAACTTTTTCCTTGTCTCTCTCTTCCTTTCTCTCATCTTCTCATTTCATGTATACATAAGTTTAGTATATGCAAACCAAACGACAAATTTTCATATATACATCAACATCATAAATTAGATAGGCGCTAAATTTGGATCATCTAATGATTTTCCTCATTCATTGTATCTAATATCACCACAAATGTATCCATTCTTTTCCAATGTCTGGTTTTTTAATTTAGGTTAACGAATCAGAAGTCGATTTATGCAGTTGACTATAACTTGTATTTATCTGAACCTCACTCCTTAAAATGGTTATTTAACGTCTCTCTTTAGAATTTTATTCCTCACCCTCACTTTAGGCCCTTTCCTGTTCTTCTTCTTTCTTTACACCTCTCTCTAGATCTTTCATACATTTCCCTCTCACCCTTGTTTCTCACTCCCACATATACACTTTCACTGAAATTTTGTTTTTTAAACCCGGAGATACATTTTCTGTTTCCTTTTTGAATTTGTAGGTCTGATGAATTGGGTCATGATTATGATTCCAATGTAATAAATTATAACCATGGAATATTGGTGTTTGAGCCTTTCATATTATATCCTTGCTCTTTCTTTGACATAGAGCTCTACCTGTATTTTATCCTCTTGGAAATATATATATATATTAAGACATTTTTATGTTTATATGTTCTTTTTATAGATACAAATATTTAAGTAAATGCTCTGTTTATAATAAACAGTATTAACGACATTTTATGGCCTGAATGTTCAAGAATTTTCATAGAAAATATACGTCCCCGATAGGAATTGAACCTGTATCCTGTACAGAACTGTCATATAGCCTGACATGCTTTTACCAATTTAGCCACAGAAGAATGTTTCGGTTAGCAAGGTCAATTTTACTGTTTTTAAACTACAATTCTCCATGATTTTCTCTTGTACATTCGTATCTGCTCGATGCGTATCCAAATGTAAACAAATGACGTCACACATTATGAAATGGACAAAGTCCGACAATTGTTTTAAGACATTTTTATGATTATACGTTCATTTTATAGATACAAATATTTAAGTAAATGCTCTGTTTATAATAAACGGTATTAATAACACTTAAAAAGAATGTAAAAACATAAAAAAATGTCATAGAATAATTGTCGGACTTTGTCCATTTCATATATATATATATATATATATATATATGAGATGGAAAATGGGAAATGTGATGCAAAAATCAATCTGTGTGATGAGATGCAAATCAAGTGGAGTTTCTTCAGTGATAAATGTGGGAATGATGTGCTATGCAAATGATGCATATGTGCACAGATGCAATTTGGGAAGAAAAATATAGAATAGGTTGTCACACTAATCTGTGATCGAGTGAATTTTCCTGACAAAATGATGACAGCCGTGACAACTTCATCATTCCTACCCTGCCCTCGATGCCCTTAAACATTATTTTTTTTTTAAGTTTTCATTCATTTTCATTCCTCCAACTTATCTTGATCTCATTTTTGCCTGCAACTTTTTCGTTCATTTTTTTTTTCTTTTAACTGTTGCATTCTATTCTTTGTGTATTCATTTTTTCTACTTTTCTTTTTATCACTTTTATGGTCATTAAAACAGTTATATTTTATGAAAGTGAGAGAAAATGAAAGAAGAAATTTTATCTGTGACAGCAAATCTAAAAAAATCAAAAAGCACAAAGGGTGGAATGAAAACCACTCCGCTTTGCTTACACTTCTTTATTTACTCTTTTCTTCTTATTATTTCCCCCAATTTACATTTCTAACTTCACTTTTCCTTTCTTTTATATTTTCCTATTATTTCATTATTTCTTTCTTTTGCTCTTGATATTTATTCACTCTATTTTGCTCAATATTTCCCCAATTTACATTCCTTTCTTTTTTCTTACTTTCTTCCTTTCTTTTTTTTCTTTCTTTCTTTTTCTCAACTCTTGCTTTCTTTTATATTTTCCTTTCTTTCTTTCTTTGATTTTTATTTCTTTAACTCTTATTATTTCTTTCCTTCTTTCTTTCTTTCTTTCTTTCTTTCTTTCTTTCTATTTCTCAACTCTCCCTTTCTTTTGAATTTTCTTATTGTCCTTTCTTTTTTCTTTCTTTTTTCTTTCCTTCTTTCTTTTTTTCAATTTCTCAACTCTTCGTTTCTTTTATATTTTCTTTTTCTGTCCTTCTTTAAACTTTATTTCCTTCTTTCTTTAATATTTCTTTTTTGTTTCTTTCTTTCTTTTTCTCAACTCTTGCTTTGTTTTATATTTTCCTTTTCTTTCTTTCTTTAATTTTTATTTCTCTATTTCTTAATATTTCTTTCCTTCTTCCTTTCTTTCTTTCTTTCTTTCTTTCTGTTTCTCAACACTCCCTTTCTTTTGAATTTTCTTACTATCCTTTCTTTTTTCTTTCTTTCTTTTTTCTTTCTTTCTTTTTTCTTTCTTTCTTTTTTCTTTCTTTCAATTTCTCAACTCTTCCATTCTTTTATATTTTTTTTCTGTCCTTCTTTAAACTTTATTTCCTTCTTTCTTAATATTTCTTTTTTGTTTGTTTGTTTCTTTTTCTCAACTCTTGCTTTGTTTTATATTTTCCTTTTCTTTCTTTCTTTGATTTTTATTTCTTTATTTCTTAATATTTCTCTTTTTTTCTTTTTCCTTCTTTTTTATCACCTTAATAAAATATGGCTGTTTAAATGGCCACAGTAAAAGTTTCATACACTTAGGAAAATCTATAAACAGCTTTTTCTTTCTTTCTTTTTAAGAATGTTCAAGAAGATAGAAGATGGCGATTGACATTACATTTAAATTTTTGAAGATTCTAGGAAAGCGAAGGGAGTTCCACAGGCAGGAAGTGTGAGAAAAGAAACTATTTGAGGAGAAGTGGTGGTTGCATTTATCCATTTCAACAGTAAAGGATGGGATAAAAATGCCAATCTAGTACGCTTAAATTTACATAATCAGGGCAGCAGGATAAAAACAAACAATGTATATATATATATATATATATATATATATATATATATATATATATATATATATATATATATATATATATATATATAGATAATATTCAAATTAGTAAATATACACATACATATGCAAAATATATAAATATATATACATACATACATATACATTTCTATAAAAAAAAAAAAAATTCCACAAGGTATTTAATCCAGGTAGAACTCAATGTCTAGGACAGATAAGGATATAATAAAAAGGCCTAAACACTAATATTCCATTCAATAATTTATTTCATTGGAATGATAAATACAGATCAATTCATCAGACCTACAAATTCAAAGGTCAATTTGTAGGTATGATGAATTGAAAGATTTTTATATTCCAATGAATAAATTATTTTGAATCTTTACATTTTTCAGCCTTTTATTATATATATATATATATATATATATATATATATATATATATTTTTTATTTCACCCCCCACAGCAAGGCGAGGAATGCTACTAGTACACATTTGGGTTTCATGGAGTAAAAGTGAGAAAAAGAATGAATATAGTGAGGATTGAGGAAAAGGCAAAAGATGGACAAGATTCTAGTAGATGGCAATTGACATTGCATTTAAATTTTTGAAGACTTTGGTTATTAGAGAAGCAAGTAAATAGAAATGAGTTCCACAGGCAGGAAGTGTGAGAAAAGAAACTGTTGGAGTAGAAGTGGTGGTTACATTTAAATATTTCAATATTAAAAGGGTGGGACCTAGATGCCAATCTAGTAGCATGCTTAAATTCATGTAGTCGGAGCACTAGGAAAAAAAGCACGTCAAAAAAAATATTTGTAGAAGAGACAGAGAGAAACCATGTGACATTGGTGAGAAAGTGACTGAAGTCACAATGCCAAGTCAGGTGCAGATCCTTTTTTGGAAAGAAAAAGAATAGACAAGGAGAAAAATGAGGATTTTTTTTCATTCTTTTCTCCTTTTTCTTTTTTCTTACTATTTTTCTTTTTTTTTTTGCTTTTACTTATTTTTTTTTCATTCTCTCTCTCTCTCTCTCTTAAATATTTATCTTCCTTTTCTTCTATTCTTCATTTCTTCACTTTTTCTCTCTTTTCTGGTGAATTACTTCTCTCATTACCTTCTACCTTTCCACCTTTTTCTAACTTTTACTTTCCAACCACCTGAAGAAGGCTGAAAACGTTGTGATAAATATGGCGACAAAGATGAGGACAATAGTCCCAATAATGTAAATAATTTTACTTTCTTTTCACCCGAATTACATCACTCTTTCTTTTTTCAAACTTTTTTCCTTCTTTTTTTATAATTTTCTCTATTGGCCAAATTATATACCTCCTTTTTTTATAATTTTCTCTATTAGCCAAATTATATACCTCCTTTTTTTATAATTTTCTCTATTAGCCAAATTATATACCTCTTTTTTTATAATTTTCTCTATTAGCCAAATTATATACCTCCTTTTTTTATAATTTTCTCTATTAGCCAAATTATATACCTCCTTTTTTTATAATTTTCTCTATTAGCCAAATTATATACCTCCTTTTTTTATAATTTTCTCTATTAGCCAAATTATATACCTCCTTTTTTTATAATTTTCTCTTAGCCAAATTATATACCTCCTTTTTTTATAATTTTCTCTTAGCCAAATTATATACCTCCTTTTATATAATTTTCTCTATTAGCCAAATTATATACCTCCTTTTTTTATAATTTTCTCTTAGCCAAATTATATACCTCCTTTTTTTATAATTTTCTCTATTAGCCAAATTATATACCTCCTTTTTTTATAATTTTCTCTATTAGCCAAATTATATACCTCCTTTTTTTATAATTTTCTCTATTAGCCAAATTATATACCTCCTTTTTTTATACTCTTTTCTCTCCATCTTTAAACTTTCTTATTCTTACAAATTACCTCTCTCTTTTTTTCTGTCTCTTCTTCTTTAGATGTTTTCCTTCCCTCTAGCCAAATTATATCTCTCCTTTTTTTTCTCTCACTTTTTTCTTCTTCTTTACACTTTTCTCTCTCTTATTCAAATTACCTCTCCTTCTTTTTTCACATTTCCTTTCTTTTTCTTTACACTTTTCTCACTCTTTTGCCGCATTACCCCTCTCCTTCTTTTCTATCTCTTCTACTTCTTTAACATTCTTCTTTCTCTTCACCTGAATGACATTTCTTCCTTTTTTCTAACTTCTTTTACTTTTACTTACAATTTTCTTTTTTTTTCTTCTGATTTACAACCCTCCTTCTTTTCTCTTATTTCTGTTCTCTTTCTTTAGCCTTTTTCTCATTTTTCTTCTGAATTATTTTTCTCTTTCTTTTCTATCTCTTCTTCTTCTTTACACTTTTCTCTCTCTTCAGCTGAATTATATATCATCATCATCTTGCGGCCTCAGCCGAGATTGAACTCACCAATACTTTGATTGGTGTAGTTCATAATCTTGTCAAATAGCTGAATTCTTGATGCTTCGCTAGGGCTATCAAAGGTGTTTTTTATCATGACACCATCACTAAATGGATTGCCAACCAAGGCTCAGAGAGACTCCATTCACCCTCAGGTTTTGAATTCAGAGTTTTCCTTCTCCTAGACCAGTTGCCATCCAAGGCTATAAAACCCAGTCTGTCCTGCTATAAACCCATAGCTGGAGGGAGAAGAAAGAGGATTCACACCTTTCCCAAGGGTGTTAGCACGTAAGTGAATGTAATGGATTCGACTAGAATTCAAACTCGGCTCTCCGATTCCTCAATCCAAGCTGCTATCCATTACTCCACCGTGCCTCCTTATATATAATCTCTCTCTTTTCTTTCACTTATCCTTCTTTACAATTTTTCTCTCTCTTTAGTCAAATTCTCTCACTTCTTTTCTTCTTCCTTGCACTTTTCTCTCTCTTTTTCTGAACTACCATCCATTTTCATCTTTCTCACTTTTTTCTCTTTCTTTACACTTTTTCTCTATTTTCTTTAGAATTAGCTCTCTCTTTCTTTTCTATTTCTTCTTCTCCTTTACACTTTTTCTCTCTTTGCTTTTGACTTACAGCCCTTCCCACTTTTCTCTCATTTGTTCTTCTTCTTTAATCTTTTCACAAATTATCTCTCTTTCTTTTCTCTATTTCTCTCTCTTCATTTCCTTCTTCTTTACACTTCCCTCCCCTTTTTTTGAATGATCTCTCTTTCTTTTGCATATTTTCATTCCTATCCTTTCTTCCAATAATTTCAACAACTTATCCATTTTTGTTTTTCTAAAGCCAACAACATTTTCTTCCTTATTTCTACTTCATCCTCTTTTCTTCGTTTTTATTAAAAAATCTTCCTTTTCTTCATTTTAATTCATTTTTTGCCTTTCATATTTCCTATCTCATGATTTATTTGGTTCATGTTTCATTGTTGCTATGATTTTTCTATTTTCTTCTCTTCAACTATCTCTCTTTCTCTTTCACTGCATTTTTTTAAAATCCTCTTTCTCTTTTCTTCGTTTTATTAAAAAATCTTCCTTTTCTTCATTTTAATTCATTTTTGCCTTTCATATTTCCTATCTCATGATTTATTTGGTCACTGTTCGTGTTTTCATTGTTGCTAATATGATTTCTTCTATTTTCTTCTCTTCAACTATCTCTCTTTCTCTTTCACTGCATGTTTTTTTAAAATCCTCTTTTCTCTTTTCTTCGTTTTTTATTAAAAAAATCTTTCTTTTCTTTATTTTAATTCATTTTTTGCCTTTCATATTTCCTATCTCATGATTTATTTGGTCACTGTTCGTGTTTCATTGTTGCTATGATTTCTTCTATTTTCTTCTCTTCAACTATATCTCTTTCTCTTTCACTGCATGTTTTTTAAAATCCTCTTTCTCTTTTCTTCGTTTTTATTAAAAAATCTTCCTTTTCTTTATTTTAATTCATTTTTTGCCTTTCATATTTCCTATCTCATGATTTATTTGGTTCATGTTTCATTGTTGCTATGATTTCTTCTATTTTCTTCTCTTCAACTATCTCTCTTTCTCTTTCACTGCATGTTTTTTTTAAAATCCTCTTTCTCTTTTTTTCTGTTTTTATTAAAAATCTTCCTTTTCTTCATTTTAATTCATTTTTTGCCTTTCATATTTCCTATCTCATGATTTATTTGGTCACTGTTCGTGTTTCATTGTTGCTATGATTTCTTCTATTTTCTTCTCTTCAACTATATCTCTTTCTCTTTCACTGCATTTTTTTTAAAATCCTCTTTCTCTTTTCTTCGTTTTTATTAAAAAATCTTCCTTTTCTTCATTTTAATTCATTTTTTGCCTTTCATATTTCCTATCTCATGATTTATTTGGTCACTGTTCGTGTTTCATTGTTGCTATGATTTCTTCTATTTTCTTCTCTTCAACTATATCTCTTTCTCTTTCACTGCATTTTTTTTTAAAATCCTCTTTCTCTTTTCTTCGTTTTTATTAAAAAATCTTCCCTTTCTTCATTTTAATTCATTTTTTGCCTTTCATATTTCCTATCTCATGATTTATTTGGTTCATGTTTCATTGTTGCTATGATTTCTTCTATTTTCTTCTCTTCAACTATCTCTCTTTCTCTTTCACTGCATGTTTTTTAAAATCCTCTTTCTCTTTTCTTCGTTTTTATTAAAAAATCTTCCTTTTCTTCATTTTAATTCATTTTTTGCCTTTCATATTTCCTATCTCATGATTTATTTGGTCACTGTTCGTGTTTCATTGTTGCTATGATTTCTTCTATTTTCTTCTCTTCAACTATATCTCTTTCTCTTTCACTGCATTTTTTTTAAAATCCTCTTTCTCTTTTCTTCGTTTTATTAAAAATCTTCCTTTTCTTCATTTTAATTCATTTTTTGCCTTTCATATTTCCTATCTCATGATTTATTTGGTCACTGTTCGTGTTTCATTGTTGCTATGATTTCTTCTATTTTCTTCTCTTCAACTATATCTATTTTTTCTTTCACTGCATTTTTTTAAAATCCTTTTTCTCTTTTTTCTTCGTTTTATTAAAAATCTTCCTTTTCTTCATTTTAATTCATTTTTTGCCTTTCATATTTCCCTATCTCATGATTTATTTGGTCACTGTTCGTGTTTCATTGTTGCTATGATTTCTTCTATTTTCTTCTCTTCAACTATCTCTCTTTCTCTTTCACTGCATGTTTTTTAAAATCCTCTTTCTCTTTTCTTCGTTTTATTAAAAAATCTTCCTTTTCTTCATTTTAATTCATTTTTTGCCTTTCATATTTCCTATCTCAGGATTTATTTGGTCACTGTTCGTGTTTCATTGTTGCTATGATTTCTTCTATTTTCTTCTCTTCAACTATCTCTCTTTCTCTTTCACTGCATGTTTTTTAAAATCCTCTTTCTCTTTTCTTCGTTTTTATTAAAAATCTTCCTTTTCTTCATTTTAATTCATTTTTTGCCTTTTCATATTTCCTATCTCATGATTTATTTGGTCACTGTTCGTATTTTCATTCATTTTTGCTATGATTTCTTCTATTTTCTTCTCTTCAACTATCTCTCTTTCTCTTTCACTGCATGTTTTTTTAAAATCCTTTTTCTTTTTTTCTTCGTTTTTATTAAAAATCTTCCTTTTTCTTTATTTTTAATTCATTTTTTGCCTTTCATATTTCCTATCTCATGATTTATTTGGTCACTGTTCATGTTTCATTGTTGCTATGATTTCTTCTATTTTCTTCTCTTCAACTATCTCTTTCTTTTCTCATGTTTTTTCACTGCATGTTTTTTTAAAAATCCTCTTTTCTTCATTTTTTCATTTCGTTTTTATTAAAAAATCTTCCTGTTCATTTTCTTTATTTTAATTCATTTTTTGCCTTTCATATTTCCTATCTCATGATTTATTTAGTCACTGTTCATGTTTCATTTTTGCCTTTGATTTCTTCATGATTTATTTTCTGTTCGTGTTTCTTGTTGCTATGATTTCTTATATCTCTTTCTCTTTCTCTTGCTGCATTTTTTTTTAAAATCCTCTTTCTCTTTTCTTCGTTTTTATTAAAAATCTTCCTTTTCTTCATTTTAATTCATTTTTTTGCCTTTCATATTTCCTATCTCATGATTTATTTGGTCACTGTTCGTGTTTCATTGTTGCTATGATTTTTCTATTTTCTTTCTCTTCAACTATATCTCTTTCTCTTTCACTGCATTTTTTTAAAATCCTCTTTCTCTTTTCTTTTCTTTTTTTTATTAAAAATATTTTCCTTTTCTTCATTTTAATTCATTTTTTTGCCTTTCATATTTCCTATCTCATGATTTATTTGGTCACTGTTCGTTTTTTCATTTTTGCTATGATTTCTTCTATTTTCATTTTTCTCTTCAACTATCTCTATTTTCTCTTTCACTGCATGTTTTTTAAAATCCTCTTTTCTCTTTTCTTTCGTTTTTTATTAAAAAATCTTCCTTTTCTTCATTTTAATTCATTTTTTTTGCTATGATTTCTTCATATTTCCTATCTCATGATTTTTTTTATTTGGTCACTGTTTTCATTGTTGCTATGATTTTTCTATTTTCTTCTCTTCAACTATCTCTCTTTCTCTTTCACTGCATTTTTTTAAAATCCTCTTTTCTCTTTTTCTTCGTTTTTATTAAAAAAATCTTCCTTTTCTTCATTTTTAATTCATTTTGCCTTTCATATTTCCTTTCTCTCATGATTTATTTGGTCACTGTTCATGTTTCATTGTTGCTATGATTTCTTCTATTTTCTTCTCTTCAACTATCTCTCTTTCTCTTTCACTGCATGTTTTTTAAAATCCTCTTTCTCTTTTCTTCGTTTTTATTAAAAATCTTCCTTTTTTCTTTTTTTTTTTAATTCATTTTTTGCCTTTCATATTTCCTATCTCATGATTTATTTAGTCACTGTTCATGTTTCATTGTTGCTATGATTTCTTTTCTATTTTCTTCTCTTCAACTATATCTCTTTCTCTTTCACTGCATTTTTTTAAAATCCTCTTTCTCTTTTCTTCGTTTTTTATTAAAAATCTTCTTTTCTTCATTTTAATTCATTTTTTGCCTTTCATATTTCCTATCTCATGATTTATTTGGTCACTGTTCGTGTTTCATTGTTGCTATGATTTCTTCTATTTTCTTCTCTTCAACTATATCTCTTTCTCTTTCACTGCATTTTTTTTAAAATCCTCTTTCTCTTTTCTTCGTTTTTATTAAAAAATCTTCCTTTTCTTCATTTTAATTCATTTTTTGCCTTTCATATTTCCTATCTCATGATTTATTTGGTCACTGTTCGTGTTTCATTGTTGCTATGATTTCTTCTATTTTCTTCTCTTCAACTATCTCTCTTTCTCTTTCACTGCATGTTTTTTAAAATCCTCTTTCTCTTTTCTTCGTTTTTATTAAAAAATCTTCCTTTTCTTCATTTTAATTCATTTTTTGCCTTTCATATTTCCTATCTCATGATTTATTTGGTCACTGTTCGTGTTTCATTGTTGCTATGATTTCTTCTATTTTCTTCTCTTCTCTTTATCTTTTTTTCTCTTTCACTGCATGTTTTTAAAATCCTCATTTTTCTCTTTTCTTCGTTTTTATTAAAAATCTGTTCATGTTTTTCATTTTTAATTTCCTATTTTCTTCTCTTCTTTTCTTTCTCTTTCACTGCATGTTATTAAAATCCTCTTTCTCTTTTCTTCATTTTAATCATTTTTTGCCTTTCATATTTCCTATCTCATGATTTATTTGGTCACTGTTCGTGTTTCATTGTTGCTATGATTTCTTCTATTTTCTTTTCTCTTCAACTATCTCTCTTTCTCTTTCACTGCATGTTTTTTTAAAATCCTCTTTCTCTTTTCTTCGTTTTTATTAAAAAATCTTCCTTTTCTTTATTTTAATTCATTTTTTGCCTTTCATATTTCCTATCTCATGATTTATTTGGTCACTGTTCATGTTTCATTGTTGCTATGATTTCTTCTATTTTCTTCTCTTCAACTATCTCTCTTTCTCTTTCACTGCATGTTTTTTAAAATCCTCTTTTCTTTTTTTCTTCGTTTTTATTAAAAAATCTTCCTTTTCTTTATTTTAATTCATTTTTTTTTGCCTTTCATATTTCCTATCTCATGATTTATTTGGTCACTGTTCATGTTTCATTGTTGCTATGATTTCTTCTATTTTCTTCTCTTCAACTATATCTCTTTCTCTTTCACTGCATTTTTTTAAAATCCTCTTTCTCTTTTCTTCGTTTTTATTAAAAAATCTTCCTTTTCTTCATTTTAATTCATTTTTTGCCTTTCATATTTCCTATCTCATGATTTATTTGGTCACTGTTCGTGTTTCATTGTTGCTATGATTTCTTCTATTTTCTTCTCTTCAACTATCTCTCTTTCTCTTTCACTGCATGTTTTTTAAAATCCTCTTTCTCTTTTCTTCGTTTTTTTATTAAAAATCTTCCTTTTCTTTATTTTAATTCATTTTTTTGCCTTTCATATTTCCTATCTCATGATTTATTTAGTCACTGTTCGTGTTTCATTGTTGCTATGATTTCTTTTATTTTCTTCTCTTCAACTATATCTCTTTCTCTTTTCTTCTGCATCTTCCCTTTTTTAAAATTCCTCTTTCTCTTTTCTTCGATTTTTATTAAAAATCATTTCCTTTTCTTTCATTTTTAATTCATTTTTTCTCTTTCATATTTCTTTTCTTCTATCTTTTCTTCATTGATTTATTTGGTCACTGTTCGTTTTTTTTCATTGTTGCTATGATTTCTTCTATTTTCTTCTCTTCAACTATATCTCTTTCTCTTTCACTGCATGTTTTTTAAAATCCTCTTTCTCTTTTCTTCGTTTTTATTAAAAATCTTCCTTTTCTTTATTTTAATTCATTTTTTTTGCCTTTCATATTTCCTATCTCATGATTTATTTAGTCACTGTTCGTGTTTCATTGTTGCTATGATTTCTTCTATTTTCTTCTCTTCAACTATATCTCTTTCTCTTTCACTGCATGTTTTTTAAAATCCTCTTTCTCTTTTCTTCGTTTTTATTAAAAAATCTTCCTTTTCTTTATTTTAATTCATTTTTTGCCTTTCATATTTCCTATCTCATGATTTATTTAGTCACTGTTCGTGTTTCATTGTTGCTATGATTTCTTCTATTTTCTTCTCTTCAACTATATCTCTTTCTCTTTCACTGCATGTTTTTTAAAATCCTCTTTCTCTTTTCTTCGTTTTTATTAAAAATCTTCCTTTTCTTCATTTTAATTCATTTTTTTTTTGCCTTTCATATTTCCTATCTCATGATTTATTTAGTCACTGTTCGTGTTTCATTGTTGCTATGATTTCTTTTCTTCGTTTTTTTTCTTCTCTTCAATTCATTTTTGCCTTTCATATTTCTATCTCTTTTTCTTTCACTGCATTTTTTAAAATCCTCTTTTCTCTTTTCTTCGTTTTTATTAAAAATCTTTCCTTTTCTTCGTTTTTTAATTCCTTTTTTTATTTTTCATTTATTTCCTATCTCATGATTTATTTGGTCACTGTTCGTGTTTCATTGTTGCTATGATTTCTTCTATTTTCTTCTCTTCAACTATCTCTCTTTCTCTTTCACTGCATGTTTTTAAAATCCTCTTTCTCTTTTCTTCGTTTTTATTAAAAATCTTCCTTTTCTTCATTTTAATTCATTTTTTGCCTTTCATATTTCCTATCTCATGATTTATTTGGTCACTGTTCGTGTTTCATTGTTGCTATATGATTTCTTCTATTTTCTTCTCTTCAACTATCTCTCTTTCTCTTTCACTGCATGTTTTTTAAAATCCTCTTTCTTTTTTTTCTTCGTTTTTATTAAAAATCTTCCTTTTCTTCATTTTAATTCATTTTTTGCCTTTCATATTTCCTATCTCATGATTTATTTGGTCACTGTTCGTGTTTCATTGTTGCTATGATTTCTTCTATTTTCTTCTCTTCAACTATCTCTCTTTCTCTTTCACTGCATGTTTTTTAAAATCCTCTTTCTCTTTTCTTCGTTTTTATTAAAAAATCTTCCTTTTCTTCATTTTAATTCATTTTTGCCTTTTCATTTTTCATATTTCCTATCTCATGATTTATTTGGTCACTGTTCGTGTTTCATTGTTGCTATGATTTCTTCTATTTTCTTCTCTTCAACTATCTCTCTTTCTCTTTCACTGCATGTTTTTTTTAAAATCTTCTCTCTTTCTCTTTTCTTCGTTTTTATTAAAAATCTTCCTTTTCTTCATTTAATTCATTTTTTTGCCTTTCATTTTTTTTTCCTATTTCTCTCATGATTTATTTGGTCACTGTTCGTGTTTCATTGTTGCTATGATTTCTTCTATTTTCTTCTCTTCAACTATCTCTCTTTCTCTTTCACTGCATGTTTTTTAAAATCCTCTTTCTCTTTTCTTCGTTTTTTATTAAAAAATCTTCCTTTTCTTCATTTTAATTCATTTTTGCCTTTCATATTTTTCCTATCTCATGATTTCTTTTGGTCTGCTGTAAAAATCCTCTTTCATTGTTCGTTTTTATGATTTCTTTTCTATTTTTTCATTTTTCTCTTCAATTATCTCTCTTTCGTGTTTCTTTCATTTCTGCATTTTTTTTAAAATCTCTCTTTCTCTTTTTGCATGTTTTTTAAAATCCTCTTCTTTTCTTCGTTTTTTTTATTAAAAATCTTCCTTTTCTTTATTTTAATTCATTTTTTGCCTTTCATATTTCCTATCTCATGATTTATTTGGTTCATGTTTCATTGTTGCTATGATTTCTTCTATTTTCTTCTCTTCAACTATCTCTCTTTCTCTTTCACTGCATGTTTTTTAAAATCCTCTTTCTCTTTTCTTCGTTTTTATTAAAAAATCTTCCTTTTCTTCATTTTAATTCATTTTTTGCCTTTCATATTTCCTATCTCATGATTTATTTGGTCACTGTTCGTGTTTCATTGTTGCTATGATTTCTTCTATTTTCTTCTCTTCAACTATCTCTCTTTCTCTTTCACTGCATGTTTTTTAAAATCCTCTTTCTCTTTTCTTCGTTTTTCTTCCTTGAACAAGACATAGACTGTTAGTTTAAGAAGTGAATTTAAATTCCAATTCACTTTTGACCTTGATTATAAACAGAAAATAAGCAAAACACAAAGCTTTGGATTTTGATTGGCTAAAGGGTTTCTACTTAATAAAATAATAGAAAAAAATTGGGAGCCAGCAGACAACTCGAATGAAACCAAGTGATAGAAGGGAAAAATCTTACAAAGAAAAAAAAGAATAAAAGAGAACAATAAACAAAGAAAGAATAACAGAATATCGAAATAAATAAAAATCATGAAAGAAAAGGATTGAAACAATAATATGACATATTGATAATAATTTTAAAAAAGAATTAAAATAACAAAATAATAATAAAGCAAAAACAAAAAAATGACAGAATTTTTGTTCAGAATTTTTTATTGTGATTCAGTTAGTCATCCTCTCAGGGGATTGTCAATTAATAGAGGATTAATTCACTTTGTGTTTTGAATTTTGTTGCTGCCAGGTAAATGTATGTAAATACCATGAAAAAGTCACAAGCTTATCTAACCTAGAAAAGAAATTTGAGACAAAATGATGTTCAGACTTTAAATAAGATAGCTGCTTCGAAAGACCCAAAAACATTTCTAAGCCACAAATAGCAATGTGGGATTAACCCACCTTGTCTGCCAGAGGATTTCCCTTAAGATCCAGTAGATAAAGTGTCAATAAACAGTATGAAAAGATTATGTATGATTCTCTCTTTTTTCCTCCAGTAGCAACAAGTCAGGACTCAATCTCTTTCCTTGGGATAGACGACTACTTAATTTCAAAATCCACGTGACACTCTCTGTTTCTTGTGCACACAACCACACACTATAGCTAATCCCATGAATGTCTTCCTTATTTCTACTTCATCATCTTTTCTCCGTTTTATTAAAAACTAGCAGCATGGCCTGGCGTTGCCCATGTTTGATCCAAAAACCGTACGACTCATGTATGAA